TTCGAATCCACGAAGAAAATATTAAAAAGAAAAATTTTATTGATGAAAAAGTTATGCCTCTAGGGCTTACAAGACTCTTCTTAAATAGAAAAAAAAAGACTCCTACAATGACTCAAACTCTACAAAAAATAGTTAAAGAATTCCTAAAATATTAAAACTCCTAATAGAATTACAAAGAAATAGAAAGTATTGAATTCTAACTAAAAAAAGACTCATTATAATAGAGGAAACAAATCATAAATCAAAACTGAATTTGTTTCCTAATTCTAATTGGACTCTAAAATTGAATTTATTTCCTAATCTAAATAAACTCCAAGTTTACTACTAAAAAATTTAAAAGCTAATTATTTTTGGATTTCTGTCAAAACTGAGCATAACTGATGAGATTGTAAAAATCTGACAATCTGGTTGGCTTCGTCTCGTCGAGATAGGCGATTTACATATATAATATGTCAGAATCCGCCTTCCGGATTGAAAGATATGTTGGATATTTTATTAAAGAAAAAACAATTTAACATGTTTTACATATTTTATTTTCCTCAGCAATTAATACGTGCATAATGGCTATATAATTATGGCGAACGTTACCGTATTAATTACGGGTTTATTGCGTAACGGTCGACATTATGGCGTACGTTACTGTATTGATTGCTAGGATTTATAACGGCTCTCTAAGACCCCTATATAAGCAGCCCTTCACATTCTCGGAAAAAAAAACAAGAAAAACAACAAGTCTCTTTTCTCCTCTTCATATTATTTTTTCATAGTATTGGTTTTGTTTTTGGGAAACTTTCTTCATCTGAGCAGAAGCTCTGTACTCTCGCCCGAGTACAGAGGCCGGCCGATTCCGCGAGTTTTTACCGCTAGGGAAGAGGGGATCATCTGCGCCAGGGCGATAGGCGGGTCATCAATCTTCTAGGGCAGTGAATACACGACTGCTCCCGATCAGGCCAGATTTAATTGTTTATTTTATTCGGATTTATTTCATGCTATAATCTTAATTATTTGATAATTTTCAAACAATCTAGAAGATTGAGTATTTATAGTTGTTAATTTTTAAAATCGAAAAAAAATTAAAATTAGTGTTCATCAATAGTTTACTGTTCACTCGAAAAAATTTTAGAAATTTTTTTTAGTTACTGTTCACACAAAGAAAATATAATTGTTTTAATTATATATTTGTTTATCTATTAGTATTATTGATTTGTTGTTGTTATAAAGTTAAAAAAATTGTAATGGTTACTGTTCATCCCGAAAATAAAAACTTTACTGTTCATATTAAAAGATATCATTTACTATTCATTAAAAAAATGTTACTATTTAGCAAAATAATTATTGCTAATTGCTTGCTTATCTATTATTTTAATTTAAAAAAATTTAAATTTTGGCTACTGTTCATTTGATTTATAATTGCAGTAATTAGTTTTAATTATTGTTGATAATTATTGCTTAAATAATTACAATTAATTGTAACTTGTAATTGGAAAGGAATATATAATCCTATATAGCAGTTAGAAATTCTTTATGAATTTGGCTATTGATTTATATCATTCACTTTATTTGTCTCAACCTTTGTTTCATGTGCATTGCAACGACAAACAATCATAGAAATACACTGACATACAACCATATGTAGGTTTGTAATGATCAAATATTATTTGCTAATAGAAACATGCTATAAATTTGCAACAATGTACATATATTTATTCTTGAAAGTCTCATATACATGGTTTTGACAAGAGAACAAACTCTGGATATATATATGCTCTGAAGTATTTGAATTTATTCATGGTTTAATGCTTTCATTTCTTTAAGCTATTAATATGATGCCTTCAATCAATAATTTCATACTTTGGAGTATTTATGCATCTAATAAGCTTAGTACAGAAGGTGGTAAAAGTGAATGCAAATTTGTTCAGCAACTTATGTAGCAGTTGTCTGCAGCAGATGGGTTTTTACTCTCAAGACATGAAAATCATGAGGTTCGAACATCAATAGGTAAACCCCTCCTCGGCCTTATCCAACATATGTTTGCAGTATAATTGCTTGGCAAATTAAATGCTTGCAGAAAATATTTTAAAGTTTCTATATTCTGTTAAGAAACAAAAACTCATTGAGTGAACCGATTCAAGTTTTCTTGGATTAGTTAGTGTCTAAGACAAGGTTTAGGGGTTGCGTAACGCACTCTGCAAGGAACGATGTACTTAATTGATCTTTGATCAACCTCTATTACTATCTTTACCTGGCTAACTACCCGGGTAAAACTTTAATTTTTTTGCTTTAGGAGTTTTTGTTTTGGAAAAAGAGGTCCGGAATTATGAGAAAAATTCATATGCATTTATTTAATTACGCTTCTTGCATCATATATTGCCTAATGATAAATGATCAATATATGAGCGAACCAACTCAAAGAGGTGCATCTTTTAAAATTCTATTTTATATGGTGGATTATATTTCAAATCTTCAAATGTAAAGTTCATCTCTTTTATTGCGTTATGATGGATATTGCAATAAATGTTCATATGTCCTTTTAGATAACTTGCATTTGTTATATGATTAATTACAAGGTTTTTATGCAAGAATGCACTTGTAAAATTTAAAGCACGTATGTACAAATATTATTATTATTATTATTTGTATAAGAGGTGGTACTAGAAAATGGCAACATAAATTTGGAAGGTCTCTTTTGTAGACAACCAATTTAAATTTGGAAGGTCTCATTTGTAGGCAACCGATTTAAATTTGGAAGGTCTCCTTTGTAGACAACCAATTTGTAACCTCTTATAATAGAAGAATTTTAAAAAAATTTATGCATATGAATTATGAAGTATGAAATATATTGTTCTCTTGAATGCTCTGCATGTATCTATTATTAATTTTATTCATGTATGTACATAATCATAACTGTAGAATTTTAGTTCCACATTAGTTTAAAATGTTCATATATTAAGGTCAAATCCTAATCTGCACAAACACCGCGTGTTTACATCTTCAGGCATAGACTATGATCTTTTATAATCATAGACAATGACCTAATGTCAATTTCAAACAATATGATGGACTAATTACAAAATAAGAACTTGATAAATAAAGACAACGTTTGCTAGGCAAAGTTGTGATTCTAGACTTTGTAAAGTCTGAGAAAAATATTGCTGACCCTTTGACTAAGGGATTATCTAGGAGTGTGGTTCTGGATTCATCGAGGGAGATGGGGTTAAGCTCATAGATGAGGTCACTGATAGCGGCAACCCAACCCTTATTTGGAGACGTAGTCTCAATGTTGGTTCAATGTGGTAGAAACAAGCTGGACTAGTGACATTCGTGTGGAGCATCGACCCAGATATATTCATATATCACCATGTAGCTTGTGCTACTACCCCTTTTCTATGATGACGATGCTCTTATGATACAACTGGCTAGGCTGAGTTTTATTCTTAATAAGTCTAACATGTGTATTATGGGGGATATTAAATAAACAGCTGTAGTACCCTTTAAGGACTTACATACGTGAGAGGAACCGTGATGGCCGCGGTTAGGGGGGTTGGGCTAAACCCTAGAAACTCTCATGAGTCGGTTTATTATGAGCATGGCCTTTAACGCTCAACCCGATTTGCTCAATAGATGAAGCGTATTGTGTGCGCTTTCATCAATATCTGATTAAAGGGGCCTAATTCAAGGCCTAGTCCATTATGTACTCACTAAGGAAAGGTTCAAAGCCGGAAGCTACCTCTCCCGAATTCACGATACGAAAGGTTGCCCAACCTATATTTGTTTTATGATTTCTTGATTTATTTATTGATTATTGATTACTGAGTTTTTAGTTAATATTGCCTTTTGGGGGGGACCGTTGGATATTTTATTAAAGAAAAGGCAATTTAACATGTTTTACATATTTTATTTTCCTCAGCAATTAATACGTGCATAATGGCTATATAATTATGGCGAACGTTACCGTATTAATTACGGGTTTATTACATAACATTCGACATTATGACATACGTTACTGTATTGATTGCTAGGATTTGTAACGGCTCTCTAAGACCCCTATATAAGCAGCCCTTCACATTCTCAAAAAAAACAAGAAAAACAACAAGTCTCTTCTCTCCTCTTCATATTATTTCTTCATAGTATTGGTTTTTGTTTTTGGGCAACTTTCTTCATCTGAGCAGAAGCTCTGTACTCTCGCCCGAGTACAGAGGTCGGTCGATTCTGGAAGTTTTTACCGCTAGGGGAGAGGGGATCATCTGCGCCAGGGCGATAGGTAGGTCCTCAATCTTCTAGGGCAGTGAATACACGACTGCTCCCGATCAGGCCAGATTTAATTGCTTATTTTATTCGGATTTATTTCATGCTATAATATTAATTATTTGATAATTTTTCAACAAGATATGATTGTTTCTTTGCGAAAGTATAAATCTGTATTTAGCTCGTGAATATCCGAATCCTCCATTCACTGCTAAAAAAATAGGCATCCTAGATGGAAAATTCCATCTAGGATACATAGAATTCCGTCTAGGATGTGTATCCTAGACGGAATTCCGTCTAGAATACCCGTCTAGAAAGTTTTCGTCTAAGATGTAGTATTCTAGACGGAAATTCCGTCTAAAATACATCCTAGACGGAATATTCTAGACGAAATTTAAAACCGTCTAGAATACATCCTAGACGAATTATTCTAGACGGAAATTCCGTCTAGAATAATTCATCCTAGACGGAAAAAATTTCCATCTAAAATGAGTATTCTAGACGGAAATTCCGTCTAGAATACTCATTCTAGACGAAAATTGATATTTTTTCATTTTTTAAATTTTTTTTCAAAAAAATGTATCCTAGACGGAATTTTAGTATCCTAGACGGAATTTCCGTCTAGGATACTGTGCTACAGTGCTTTTTTTTTTTTACAGAATCTACTTTGGATGCATGTACACAATATTGAACAAAAAAATATATATTCATATCCAACACAATCTAATTATATTCCAATATCAAATCCCATTATATTCAAATAATATATTCATAAAAATAGTAGAGAGATACATAAATTATTTACAAACTTTTATATAAATTATTTACAATGGCTATGACAATGCAGAAGCTTCTTCAACTCCTTGCTAAACTTTCCGCTTCGTTTCACACACTCCATTATTTCTTGCCTATATCAAGGGGAAAATATTTTCCATAAGTAACCAAAAGACATAATTGACAGTATATTGCAAAGAGAGGGAGAACAGACCACGATAAAGGATGGTCATCACACCCTAAAAACGTTTGACCTCTCAAGTTTTTCTTCATGATTGCAATTGAAGAGAGATGCAGCATCCTAGTATGCAAAATTGATGTAAATGTGTTTACCTGAAGATCTTGAATACAAAATACACTACTAAACACCACCCAGTTTTATAATGAATAGCTGTCTCAAGAAATAGACTTTTAAGCTGGTAATACGTTTGTAAATTCCACATAAGAACAGAAAACAGTGAAGAAATTTTAAAAGTAAACACCACCCAGTTTTATAATGAATAGCTGTCTCAAGAAATAGATTTTATTTACAATCGTGTGATCCTAAATTCCACATAAGAACAGAAAACAGTGAAGAAATTTTAAAAGGATATGTAAAGGCCAAAAACCACTTTACAGCATAAATAATTTACAGCATAAATAAATGGATGGCTGATTTGCTTAGATCTCAACTTTACAGCATAAATAATTTGAATGCAACAATTTTTGATATTGATCTAAACATTTAAAACGGCCAAAAACCACTTTTTATCACATTTCAAACATTATACACTGCTACACTAACAAACATTATAACAAACATTACAATGCATAATGATCAACATAAAGAGCCAATGGATTATATCTAAAGTTAAACTTTTACAAAGAAAAGAAAGCGATAAAGTCAGTACTGAAAAGGCATACCACCTGGAAAGAATTTAGCTAATAGAGAGATCGTACCTGCTGAGATATTTCATATCCAACTTTAATTCTCACATCTTGGTCCTTTTGGAAGTCAAGTATGCTCCAAACAAACTCAAGTGCTCCTCTTGCCTTCCTCTGCACAGTGTTTCCAACAAGACAGAAAACTTGTAATCAAATTAAAACATCAATGCATATGGGAACATAAGAAACATACAACAGCTTGATAAATATGACGGTTGCAGGCACATCATCAGCTAGAATTGAATCAGCATGAGATTTGAGAATGAGAACTTAGCAAACATGCTATTCAACATGGAAATCAATTGCCTCCCAAATCATATTGGGCCCCTTATAAACTAAACATTAATCATTTTGTGACGTTTTGCAACCGAACAAAAGAGAAAATTACTTGGCATATTAGACAATTACATTTCCGATTCATGCTTCTACTTATCATCCTATCACCATCTAATTACATTTCCTACACACAGATCGGTACAAAAAAAACCCAAACTAAGGCCAACAACATACTCCCTAAATAATGCACAATCAAACCCTAAAAGATCACACTTCCAGCTGGTTACAAACAAAACCTAATTCCCAAATGAATTCAAAGGATTGTAGAAAGGGGGAAACTTTACCCTCTAAAGACATCGCCGAAAGAGCCACTCCCGATGAGCTCGAGAGAGCTAAATCGGGCCTCGATGGCGGCGACCCTCAGCCGCGGAGACGACGACGTGGAGGTGGAGAGGAGGGCGGAGCCGAGGAGGGAGGAGGACTTGGCGCGGGCGAGGAGGGAGAGGAGCCCGGCGACGAGGATGCGGTCGAGGGGGTTGGGGCCTGGGTGGGATCGGGAGAGGGAGAGGGAGAGGAGGCTGCGGAGGGGAAGGGGGACTCGGAGTGGATGAAGAGGGAGGGGGAGAAATTTGGGAATAAAATTTAGGCGGCGATTGGGGATTTTATTTCAGAGTTTGAGAATTTAGGCGGGGAAACGAAAATTAGGGGTGAAATTTTGGCGGGAGGGGCACCCACCATCCTAGACGGAAATTTTCCGTCTAGAATGTTTCCTCGACGGAAATTTCTGTCTAGGATGCTCATTTTAATTTAAAAAAATAAAAAAATATTAAAACCGTTTACTTTGCTATTCTAGACTGAAATTTCCGTCTAGGATAGTTTTTTCTAGACGGAAATTTTCCGTCTAGTTTAATGCAAACTAGACGGAAAAAATTCCGTCTAGGATATTCCGTCTAGTATGTGGGTTTTTCTACTAGTGATTAAATTTTCTGTTAAGCGTCCTACATCACATATCCATAATTAGAAAATACTATCCATAAAAAAGTAGAAAATTCCTAATAATCAAATCTTTGTTAACTCTAAACAAATAGTAACAATCCATAAAAATTGTAAAAAATGTCATGTGTCCCTCCTTATATTAAAAAATTTTCAACAAACCTCTTGAAAATTTGAATTGAGCAGAAACTCCTAAATATTTGGAACTCTCACTAAATCCTCAGCAAGTTAGATAATTTTAGAAAACACCAAAAATATTTTGATTTGTTGCACTTAACCTCTAATATGGCGTTATCCAAAAATTTGACATCGAGTAAAAGTAACCTTCGTGGACAGTATATACCTCTTAAATCATTCTTATTTGCAAGTTAACCCATAAATTAACAAACAACCCTAAAAATATGAAAAAGTACAAATAGACACCTAGAAAATCTAAAATTATGAATAACACATAAAAATGTGAAAGATGCATGAAATCCCTAAATATTATAGAAACCTCACTAACAAATAGGCATGTCCAAACAGGCTGGCCCGGCCCAGCCTGGGTGTCGGGCTTGGGTTGGGCAAAACCTGTGGCCTAGACCCATGCCCGATAGGCCCCGGCCAGGTCCGAGGTTGAGCCCGGGCCCGAGTTGGTCGGGCCTGATTATTATTTTTTTATTAAAAAACTTAAAAAGTAAAAATAATAAATTAAGTAAAATTTTGATAAAAAATAATCATATTATTAATCACTTGTAATTATATAATTTACAAATATAAAAAATTATAAAAATCAAAATGATAAAAATAAATTCTTTATTAATAATCAGTTAATCACAAACAATTATAAATTTATTTTGGAATTTGTCACATCATAATAGATGAATACATCTCACTAAGAGTATATATATATATATATATATATATATATATATATATATATATATATATATGTATATGTAATGTATCTATATATTATCTATATAGTATATATATATATATAGCTATCATATATGTGATATGTACTATATATATATATGTATATTATCTATATATATATATATATATATAATATATATACTAATAAATATATATATAATATATATATATATATATATACTAATATATATATATATATATTATAAATATAATAAGAGAGAGAGAGAGAGAGAGAGAGAGAGAGAGAAGAGAGAGAGAAAATGGTATACTTGGTAACGCCTCTTTGTTTTGATGATGTTTAACAAATAATTTATCACTAATGTTGTTTATCTAGTATTTGTATTTTCTTATTTATTATAGACAAACAACGTATTGGAGGTTGGATGGAATTACATCATAACGATCATATCAATGGAGGTTAGCGGAATAGTGGAGTGAAGCCTACGCAATTCAAAGTTAAAGATTTAAGTTCAAGCTTCATCTGCAAGTGTACCAAGATAGAGCTTCGTTGAAGATCACAATCTCAATCTTGGGTAAATTTAGTTTTAGGTTTTATATTATGTGTGTTAGTACTTTAAGCTCAATCATATACACACATACACGTTTTGGTTTTGTGAATATATATAGTTATATATGTACATATATGTTTTGGTTTGATAGTTTTTAAGTTTTAATATGAAACAATTGAATATAATTAGAAAACATATTTTTGTTTCATACTTACATGCATATATATGATTTCATCAATATCAATTTTATTTAGTTCAATGAAATCATATTTACTTTTGAAATGTTTGAAAAATATAAAATTTTGTGAAAATATTGTTTTCTTGGTTTATGGACTTAATAACAATCATATACATCTTTTATTAAGTCTATATAATTATTTTGTAATGTTTCAAAACATGGTTAAGCTAAAATTATATAATTATTTTGTAATGTTTCAAAACATGGTTAAGCTAAAATATCAAAACTCATATGTTTACATTTTCATATTTTTGACTATTTTGCAAAATGATGATATTTTTTATTTGGGAGGTCTTTTTTGAAAACCAGTTATTGTAGTATGTTTATTATCATGTCTATAATCATTTTCCAAAGGTTTATATTTTTTGGAATTTGTTTGATATTTTTAAACAGGGTTTCAAAATCAGAAAACATTTTCAAACCTGTCAATTGCATGTATCTGTTTGCGGTCGACCACCACGGTCAACCGCCTTGAGTTCAGAGAGTCTCGCGGTCGACCGTGGTGGTCGACCAGATGATGTCCAGAGACTTTTCTCTCTCCTTAGGCGCTCGCGGTCGACCGTCGAAGTTACCGTTGGCTGGTAACGACTAGTTCCTGAGCTGTTTTTCTGGGGGATTTTTTTGTCATTTCAGTAGGGTTTTGGCTGAAGTTTTGAGTGGGTATAAATACCCCATTGCATTCAACTCTCACATTAACAATGAGAGTGTTTTAAACAAGTTTAAGAAAGTTTTAACAAGGGTTTTAGTTTTGTTTGAAGTTAGTTTAAAAAAACTTTTAAGCAATTGAGAGTTTGATTTTGTGAAATCAATTTCACAAGAGCTAGAAGAGATCATCACTTGGTGTTTAAGATTCAATCCATCTCTCTCTCTCTTGTCATCTAGAGAAGTTTTCCTAAACTCAATTCTAGCTTTTTTTTATAATTATTTGTTGATTATCATTTCTATTAAGCTAGTATTTACATTTGAGTTTAGTTGATTTTATTTCACTCATTGTTTACACACACCCACTTGAGCTTATTGTATTTTTATATATAGTATATTTGGGTTAGTGAGATTTGTAACAATTGAGCGTGAGCTTATATTGTGTTCTCATCCATATTAGAGAATAAATTAATTGTATTGTGAGCCTATTGTAAGATTCACTTTGTAGTATACCGAGAGAAGTGTGTGGTGAGAGACGGGGTCGCTTCCAAGAGGAGTGGCGTCGGTTGAAGAACCTAGGGAGAGGTTGTATCCAAGCACTTGAGGAAGGACACGGACTAGAGACCAACACTTAGATGGTATGGAGTGTAGTTACATTGTGAGATTGTGAACGTTGATCGGTGAGCGTTGAAAACCGATATTGTGTGGTGTTGTGAGATTGTGAACGTTGATCGGTGAGCGTTGAAAACCGATATTGTGTGGTGTAAACGTTATTCGGGTTAGCGTAGAAAACCCGGTTGTGATAGTGGATTTCTCCCCGGGAGTGGGGAACGGAGACATAAGACGGAAGGTCCGAACTCCGTGATCATATTGTGTGTTGGCATTGTTTATATTGCTCTATCACATTTGTATTTTTAGTTTAGATTGTTTACCCTTGTGTTGTTTATATATCCTTGCATACATTTCATCATATAGGATATATCTCTTTGTTCATATTGCATATTCTTGCTCATAACATATTGTATATCCATCTTACAAGAATAATTTATTAATAAGTTTTAATTGACATAAAATCGGATTAGATTAGCATAAGCCCTAATCACCCCCCTCCATCTAGGGTCTAACAACACACACACACACACACAAGTATAAATTCGTAAGAGAGTGGGGTTTGGTTCCCCGATCAAGTTAGCTAATGAACTTGAGTGGGGTTAATAAGAACTAAGAGTTCTTGTGTGCAGTGTGATTGCTCAAGGATTAGATTTAGAAATCTAGATTCCAGCCTAAAAAATTTAGCCCTTTGTAAGATAGAATAGTACCTGTATATATACTTAGGGTGTAAGGGTAGATTGGTCACTTCGGCCGAGCACAAGATAGTGGTGGCGAAGTGTGGGCTGGCGACTGCGTCAGCACCTGATTTACAGGTGTCGGGTGGCGAATAGGGGATGAATCACTTCGGCATTAAATGAGAAGTGACTGGAGGCATAGCAGTGCCCACGTGGTCCGATGAGTCATGAAGGCTATCGGGACTAGGGGCATTGATGCGCCTAATAATCATTAAATGCAACGTGAACACGTTGCTAGAGGGGATAAGCTCGAGGCAGAAGATGACATTTTCCTTCGCTAAGACAACCCGGGCCGTTTTCCAAGCCTGTTCCAGGCCGGGTCGGGTTCAGGCCCAGCCGAGTCCGGCCAGACATCGGGCCGGGCCCGGGCTTTAGGCCCGAATGGACACCCCCTAACAAATAAGTATATTACAAACAAACCATTGAAAAATACAAAAAACATATAAACCTTTAAAAGACATCTGAAACTACAAAAAAATCCTTCAAATTCTAAAAATTAAAAAAATAATCTTAAACTTATAAAATTATAAATAACCCACAAATATTTATAAATTACAACGAACCTATTAAAAATCCAAAAGTACAAACTACTAACTTATAAATATAAAAATTATAAATGTCCCCTTAAAAATTCAAAAATTCAAACCAACACATGAAAACTATGAAAATTACAAAAACCCCATAAAAAATAAAAATGACAAATAACATCCTTAAAAATTAAAAATTGCGAACAACCTCCTAAAAATTTGATAAGTCATAAATAGCCCTTTAAATCAGAAATACAAAAAAAGGCTACAAAATTACCAAGAAAACCCAAAAAATACAAATAATCCTCTAAAAATTTAAAAATTAGAAACAAAGCCCTTTAAAATCCAAAAATTATAATCAAACTCTTGAAAATTTTGATAATTACAAACAAGGGTAAAATACTCCCATGATCGTGGTCCATCACTTATGAGGCTTCAAATAAATAAAAAATGATGT